CTCGGTGTTGCCCCGGTCCCGGCCGGGGGCCCGGCAACGGGATTGCAAGCCTCGGTGCTGCTCCCGCGCCTCGCTCAGCCAGTGAGCGGGAACCGGTCTGTATGTGGGATCCGAACCCTCGGCGGGAGCGCCGCCGCGCTTCCCAAGCGGCGCACTATCCAGTGCGCCACCGGGCTGGCCCTCAGGTCACATTTTTCTATTTGAAGGTAAAATTCATCTGTAATTAGAAATCTAATTTTCCCATATGGTTTTTCTGTTTTAAGGGGTCGGGGGGTCAGGGGGGCGAAGGCTCCTGCCTCTCTTTCTTTGGCTATTTCAACATTCCACACTTAAGAAATTCAGTCTTATTATTTTCACTGCTATTTTATTTTATATATATTCATGAAGCCACATACAGAAATAATAGAATGGGAGGAAAACTTAGCAAAAAAGGCAGATCTAGAGTTGAGGCTGGAATGTTTTATTGTACAAATATGAAAAATACATTGTGGGTTTTTTTTTCTTTTTCCTTTCTTTTTTTTTTTGCAGGAGGACCCAGAGATCTTCAAGCACTATGACAGAATTCTGGATCAGGAAGTAGAATGTTTTTACAGGTCTCCAATTATTCCAGAGATTCCACCATTTGGTTTTCACTATTTACAGAGGACTTATAAAGTAAAAACCAGGTACAAGCTCTTGTTATAGGAAGGCAGCTCAAAAATACTTAAATAAAACTGCATACATATTAAGTGTTGTTACAGGTCAAATAAATCTTTGCATCTAGCCAAAATAAAGTTATTTGATAATCACAGTTATGAAAACAACACCAACAGTATATAATTCAGTTTCATTTTGCTGGAGGTAAGCAGTCTTTTGACACATTAAAATCAGAATATACAGACATTTCCACCTTTTCATATCTTTTTCATAAATATATGGAACAATGTGGCATCAATATTAGAATCAGTGTAAGACAGAGCTGGTTACTCCAATATTGGCTTTTATTCAGTCACAGCTATTATGGAAACCAAGGCAGAAAATGGTATATTAGCAAAACAACTA